TTTGTGAGTGCTTTAAATTAGAAATGTTGAGTAAACTTTTTTGAGGGAAGTTTAATGTTGTTGTTTTTTTGCGTCCACATTTTGTAAAAATAGAAAACTCTCTATGTAGTACTTGTGAATTAATTCTTATTTTTCTTTATTATGACAAAGCTTATACTCGCTCCGTTGGAATGTCTAGGTGGGCACGACAAGGCCTAAATTGTGCTGATGTGCCAAAAATACTGCTAAAAGGAAAACAGCCTAAATAAACTAAATCACAACATAAAAAAAAGTTCTTTGAATGACATTTTCAAATGAGGTAATGAAACCAATCTGCTTCATGAACATATACAACAATAACCAAATAGTAATTCAAGAATATATCCGTGAACAATTTAAAGTCTTTATATTATTCAAACGATATTTAATATAAAAAAAAAGGCAAAGCAAAATATTATTTTGTGGCCTCTTAGAAAATTACATATCTTTTTTTTTCTTTTTTTTTTTGCAAATGAAAAAACAAAAACAACAACAAAATAAACAACAAAATAAACAACACTGAAGTCTTATGAAGTTATTATAGAATTGATAAAAACTAAAATTAAAATTGTTTACTTATCTGTGACACAAAACAACTTTTTTTTTGGTTAGTTGTGGAATATAATTTTAAATTGTGTAGTTATCTAGCTTATTACGACTTATGGGTACCATCAGTGATTTGAGGCTTGAAAGGCTCCATAAGTAATATAGAATAAAGAACAACCAGATCTACACACTATTCCCCTGGTAAGCTGTGATACACAGGCAACATCTTGTTAGAATTTAAGCTACAATTTCTTTCCTATTGGAATTTAATTACAGAAATTGTAAATAAAATACAAAGCCATGCAGAAAATAAACTCATCTTTCAACAATTTTTTTAAACAAATGATGAACAACATGTAAACCTCTTTTGTAAACTGACGTTCGCTGGATTTCAAAATGGAGTTATATTGCTCGTTTTCTTAAGCTCTTTAATACATTTCTTCTTTTTTTAAGTAACGTCTGTATTATATAAGATAAGATAAGATTTCATGGATTGGCAATAACTCAAAGAAGGCTAAAAAAAAACACTAAATAAATGAAACCAACCTCCGACTGCTAGGAAAAAAATGGACTTTCATTGATTAAATCATTTTCTCTTAATTGAGATATTAAATCAATTTTAAAGCGTTTTACAATCTCACATAACTTGTTTGTTGACAAATGGACCTAAGAACCTCGGTGTCTAACAACAATGCACAATAAGGAGCTGACGACTCACTTCTAGGATGTAATTAATTTAAATATACATGACAGTTTTTAAACATCAGCTACTGATGTTAAATTTTAAGTATAAGGATAAAAAAATACATTTACAAAATCATGTCTTCAGTTAAAGGACTGCTAACATAGGAGGCACAACAGACATGTGGCTGCATTTAAATGTTTCCGTAAAATTACAAAACTGCGAACGAAAATGGAATAATTTTAGCTTTTTCCTCAACACACATGGTTAAACTGGATTTAGGGCTGCAAATATCTTAATGAGTAGCATATAAGAAAAGGGGGCGGTAGACCCAAAAAAAAGGTTGAAGACCACTGGTATAGAGCAAGAAAAAAAAAGCGTACAAATGGCATGTTCCTTAGGTTCATCTAATGAGAACAACAGGTTAGAAGATTAATGTTTATATCTGTCTATGAAGTTAACAAAACATTGTACATTTAGTTTAACTTCGAAATGAAGTTGTATTGCTTGTTTTCTTAAGCTCTTTAATATATTTTCTGATTTTTTACTTTTTTTTTTTTTTTTTTGAGAAACAGAAAGATTCATGGGTTGGGGATGACTTAAAGCAGGCTAAATAAAAAAAAAAGGATTTACATGGTAAGCATCTAACACAAATAAATGAAACCAACCACCGACTGCAACGAAAAAAAATTAGACCTTTTTATGAATTAAATCATTTCCCCTTTTATTGAGATATTCATTCAACATTCAACTGTGTTGGGTGTTGCTTAAGTTTAACATAGTTCAACACCTATAGAGCTCATTCCTAAAAACTGTAACTTAGGCGTTTCTTTTCTTGCTATTTCATATTTATCGGGAAAAAGGTTTTCGGGAACATTCCTTTTATGGTTGTGCTGATGTCCGAACCAATAACCAAATCCGGCAATTGGTTGACCAGGTATGAACACAGGAGATCCACTGTTGCCTATACAAGTGGGGGCGTCATAGTAATACCGGCACCAAAGCTGACCACTCCTAACTTTTTTTGGTTCATCTTTCAAACTTGGGTAGTGTCGACCCACGCTGACTTGTTTAGGTCGATAATGTGGATGGCCAACTATAATAACTAGGTTTTTTCTAATCGTATTATTTGTTAACAATTCATAAATTTCTTTCTGTTGCGTTTTATAAATTTGTAAACAACTCTCCAGGGTATCGACCAGGTTTTTTTCTTGGTTATTTGTTACAAAAACTTTACTACAGTCCACCTCACATTCAATGGCGCACCAGTCATTCTCAATTCCTTCTTCTTTGTCTGTATCTAGCAGTCGACATTCTTTCAATCGAGGGCACTTTTTTTCATTAAAGAAATCTTCTATTCTCTCATCGTAAAACAGAATCACCTTTGTTTTGTACGTTATCCAGTCAAGAAGTAGTTTGTCCTCAGCACCGAAAACATGATAAGCCGTAGTGAACGTAAAAACTGCTCTGCCTGTACTATTTCCTGCTTCATCAACTAACCTGCGAATTTTTTGTAGGAAACAAGTTCCTCCACCTCCTGAAGTGTAGATTAATCCCGTCAGTTTGGCCATAGTTTTAGTAAAAGTTACAATCTTGGTATTAATGTAAAAATCATCTGCAATTGCAATTTTTTCGTTGAATTGTAACAAGGGTATTCTATGAAGGTTTTCATGGTTCACATTTCTTTTGTAACATTCTTGTTCTGATTTTGTGATAACTGAAACAAGAAGAGAAACATTGTCCATTGGTAAAAACGAAAATATAAACATAATAAGGCTTGCTTTCGAGTCCGAAGATTAGCGAGGAACATAAGGAGACATAAACATAAACAATTGGCCTCTTTCATAAGTGAAGTGAAGCCACTATGGATCACCTGGGCATAAGGGGTTCCGGGTTCGAATCCTGGTGAAGAGTGGGATTTTAAATGTCGGATCTTTGAGTTCACCCAGCTCTAATTGCATACCTGACATTTGTTTGGGAAAATAAAGGCGGTTGCACTACAGATGGCGAGGTCTGAAACGGAGCTCTCTTTGGGCTACACAGAAATTCCAAAGGTTAACAGAGGTTAAAATATCAAGTTTTCTCTTCTCCTTGCTGAGTAGCCAGCCAAAACTAAAGAGACCATCCTGCCTAAAGCTTACAAAGTTTCTCGCCTTTTACCCCTTATTCTGTAAAAATTCGGCAAAAATTAATAGCTGAACCACACTAGAGTTGGTTGTCAGAAGGTATTTGAGACGGATGACATTGGAAGCATTTAGTAGGCAACGATGACCATACGGAATCTGCAATAGCAACAGATATTAATATTGTTGTTTCACAATCAGATCATTAAAATAACGTCTGATAACAGTCAGAGGCTCGGTGTCTAACTGGTAAAGCGCTTAGCTTCGAAGCGAGGGGTCCCCGGTTCAAATCTAGGTGAAAACTGGGAATTTTTATTTTGGTAACTTAACGACACCCCTGAGTCTATCCAGCTCTAATGGGTACATAACATAAGTTGGGAAAAAATAAAAGCGTCGGGTCGTTGTGCTGGTCACAATGAATAACTCGCTATACTAGGAATAGCTGTATTTGACATCATCTGCCTTATTGATTGTATGGTCAGAAAGGGATACTTAATGCTAGTTGAAAATAAAAAATATTCCTAGAGTTAAGAATGTACATAATATGCAATTTTCTCAAGAAAAATATGCAAAAAGCAACATTAACATTTGATTTAATATATCAAAAGGTGAGGAATAACAATTTTAAAAAAATACGAAAGCTAGAAAAACATTAACAAGATTACAAAGAGAGTTTGAGTCGGATTCCTGTTCGCAAAGAATATCCAATACGTGATTTTGGTTTGATTGTCAAAAGTAATAATATTTCATAGATTCTTTTTGGCGTTGTAAAAAGTGTTGTTTTTTTTTCTGTAAAAGGTTTTACATGTTTCGGATGTTCCTTCAAGTTAAAGATAATTTACTTCCTTGTCCAAACCTCCATCCGGACGACGGGGGGTGGCATCGAGCAGGGTATGAACTCGGACCGTCGAGAAAATCAGTTCGCAATATGTCAGAGGAGCGATTTTAGATAATCTTTTGGTATTACTTTGTAATTGAAAAAAAAATCTAACTTCACATATCCTCTGGTCTGCTGGACCGTTAGGGCAACACGGTTCGGATAATTTTAATAACAATCAACGCGTGCATCACAGCTGTTTTATATGTCTATTACGTAGTATTCGTTGAAGAAATAATGCATATAATAAGCATTTATGTAGCTTTTTCAATTAGAGGGTCCGTGAGCAAATTTTGAATATATGAAGGTGTCACCGGGTCAAAAAAGATTGAGAATCTCTGTTCCATAGCCAACTCAATATCTTCCTCTATTCCAAAAGCAACCCATCGACCAGTAAAAAAGATGTCATACACATTTGAGAAATTGCTTGTCACTTGTATTGTTATTGTTCCCCATTCTAAATTTAAAAATTACAATTTTAAATATCATTTATCAGTTATGATACAAATAATTTACCTTTTTGTAATTTTGATACTTTATCCTCAATTCTCTTGATACGAAGAAACCTAAAAATGTAACCCAAGAGCCTTCCTATTGTTTCCTGTAGTAGTCCTGTATTTGAAAAGTTAATTAACACAATCACTTTATTAGGTACCGTTGATAGGTCAACTTTAATATAGAGTTTCACGAGAGACGAACACAATACCAGCAAAAAGATTTCTTTTACTTAGAGCTGTACGAGATTGAATATGAAACTCACTTATGAAGTCCATGCTCATCAAAGGGCTTTAAGTACTGGACGAGTAAGACGCTGTTGATAAACTTGAACTTTTATTTCATTTGTTGTTCAGATACATTTTACATGAACATTTCTTTTTCAAGTATGGGTAGAAGATAGAGGTAGAAGAGGATAGATTTTCAAATGATAGAATTAAAACATGATAGAGGTAAAAGATAGAGTTAAAAGATGATAGAGGTAGAAAATATAAAAAGTAGAAGATAATAAAGACATAAATTGATAGAAGTAGATAATTGAGGTAGATATTGATAGAAGTAGAAGATAATTGAGGTAAAAATTGATAGAAGTAGAAGATAATTGAGGTAGAAATTGATAGAAGTAGAAGATAATTGAGGTACAATCTGATAGAAGTAGAAGATAATAAAGACAAAAATTGATAGAAGTAGAAGATAATTGAGGTAGAAATTGATAGAAGTAGAAGATAATTGAGGTACAATCTGATAGAAGTAGAAGATAATTGAGGTAGAAATTGATAGAAGTAGAAGATAATTAAGGTAGAAATTGATAAAAGTAGAAGATAATTGAGGTAAAAATTGATAGAAGTAGAAGATAATTGAGGTAAAAATTGATAAAAGTAGAAGATAATTGAGGTAAAAATTGATAGAAGTAGAAGATAATTGAGGTAAAAATTGATAGAAGTAGAAGATAATTGAGGTAAAAATTGATAAAAGTAGAAGATAATTGAGGTAAAAATTGATAGAAGTAGAAGATAATTGAGGTAAAAATTGATAGAAGTAGAAGATAATTGAGGTAAAAATTGATAAAAGTAGAAGATAATTGAGGTAAAAATTGATAGAAGTAGAAGATAATTGAGGTAAAAATTGATAAAAGTAGAAGATAATTGAGGTAAAAATTGATAGAAGTAGAAGATAATTGAGGTAAAAATTGATAGAAGTAGAAGATGATGGAGGCAGAAATGTATGAAATTAGAGGACAAAAATGGTAGAAATTGATAGAAGAAGATGATAAAGGTAGTAAATGGTAAATGTGATACATATGTATTATAATAAGTTATCATGTGTAAAATTTAATCCATAAATAGGCTGAATTGTAAAGCGTTTGGTTTACGTAACAGATGGTCTCGTGTTGGAAACGCGCTGAAGACGGATTATTTAATTTCTGAACTCTTGATTCTGCCCAACTCTCATGGGCACCTGACAGAGTCAAGTAGACTATTCCTTGTGCTGGCCACATGACACTCTCGTAAGCCGTGGGCCACAGAAATAGATTACCTTTATATCATTAGCCTCATATATCGCAAGGTCTGAAATGTGATATTTTACATTTTTTAACAGCTAGAAAGGAAATAATTGTGTACATTTAAAATGTAAGTTAGTGAGTGATATAGGCTTGTTAACTTAAAGACAATTGTAGGCCTACTGTATCATTTGTTTTTGTTCCTCTTATATCAGCAACACATCGAAAAAATCGTAACGTTTATACATTTTTAATGAGAGTCCATAACGCTTAACTGTTTTTCTTCTATTATTATGCCCTAAAAGAACTCCTACAGACTGTTTCATGTTTACATATATTTTGTACTATATCCCTAATATAACGAGACTTACCGTAAGAGACTGTGTCCTTTTTGTTGTCTTTGTTTTCCAGGAAAACTTATCAATTTGTTTACCACAGACCAACACGTTGAAGAAGACGCCAACGAAGCGTGTCTTTTTAAAAGCTAATGTACAGCACTGGTCTTCGATTATTCTCTGCTAGCACTGCTAATGTACAGCACTGGGCTTCGATTATTCTCTGCTAGCACTGCTAATGTACACAGCTTTAGTGGTACACACGTGCTCTTAGTCTGCTTGCACTGTTGCACAGAAGCTACTTGTGTATTGGGGTGGGTTTGGGGAGAGGAGGGCTGAATAATAATAAAAATCCTTATTGATATCAATAGAGAACTCTTACCTAAGAAGAGTTACATTACATGTGTGTTTAGGCAAAGCATGACTGCTACTCGTTGCAGTCCAACAATGAAGCCCGCTAAGTCGATGACCGGTAGGAAAACAGATCAATGTGGAAAACAAATATTTTTAGTTTGGGGGAGGGGGGATTAAACCTCCAAACCCCCAATCGCTTTGTTAATGGGTTTGATGACTAACGTATAGCACTGGTCTTCGATTATTCTCTGCTAGCACTGCTAATGTACACCTATCCCTTATTCTGTTGGGGCACCATGCAAGATTTGTTTACCGTCTTTCTCCATTCCTCTCTGTCTTTTGCCTTTTATAGAACCTCTTCCAAAGGCAAGCCCTTCCATTCTTTTATGTTGTCTTCCTATCGCTTACTCTCTCTCTGCCTCCTCTTCCTTTTCTGGTACTGTTCCTTGAAGGCAGGCCTTTGCGAGCCACTAAGACATTGTGATATGGCCATAGATTTGTAGCTTGCTTTTTTTAAAACACATTTAGCAGGTGATCATGGGTGTCAGGTTCTTGTGTTCTTGTACTTATCAAACTATTATTAGATATTTCAAATGTGAATATTCATTTAAAATTAATATTATTTCAATGCGTGTTATTGTTATTATTTTCTGAACTTGTAATATTTTGGCCCAAGTTCAGCCTGACAAGCACACCATACACATACAGATGTATATTAAATTCATAAACTAAGTGTATGATGTTAAATAACAATAAAAATTTATTCCAGTGATATATTTACAAATGAACTGATGTATGATGAATGATAATAATAGTATCAATATCAATAGATATATGTGTAATAATATGTCATCTCAAATGATCCAGTTATTCTCTTTGCGACATATAAATGATCATTATTTGAACAATATCATTACCTTAATATATTCATTACAAGTTGTTCAAATAGACTTCCAACACAACAACTGGTCATCCACATAGATCTAGCCTCATCCGATACTGTTCACTGACGACATTTCTAAAAGCTTATACTTCATACTATAACATGAGGTCTGACCAAGGCAACCCGCAGTCTGAAATCTTGAACCTCAGACTCATGAAAAACCAACTTGAACACCAGACGACCAACTGAGATTAGTGAGATGAAGACCTCAGTCCTGTAGACTGTAGACCTAAAGTTGTACTCTCAATATAGAAAATTGAGACTGGATAAACAAGTCTTGACACCAAGACTTGACACTGAGTCTAACACATAGACTTGACACCAAGCTAAGATCACTACTTAGACTTGACGCTAAAACTTGAAATAGAGTCTTGAACTGAGACTACGACCAAAACTTAGACTTGTCGTTAAAACCCTATAGAAGATAAAGGATTCTTCTAATCATCTAGATCTAGTCTAATTATAGACTTACAAATACGAACGAATTCAAATAGAAAAACTATACAATGAAAAATAAAACTCACCCTAAACAGGGGTCAAGATAATCCAACAAGAAATTGTCCAAGGCAATTGTTAATTCTATCCAGTAACAAAAACCAAGGAGAAATTCAGGAGCTCTCAAGACACGTCTATCTGTGCCAACGTACAAAACAATGGATAGACTGTACTAGACGATAAATGACGCAAACCACACACACCTAACTTTACGTCACTAGAAATTGTGACTAGCAACAAAAGCTCAGTCCCCTAGTCTACAAAGTAAAATATTAATAGTGTAATGACGTCATCAATATAGTGATCAACGCCGCACTATCAATTAGAGAAATAATTCTACTATACAGTTACATAGATAACTGCGACAATGGGGTACAATCGCTGTGTAACCATGTTTTTGAAATCCCTTGGTTTGTGATGCTGTCTCTAAATGTGATACCTAGGATCTTTCTGTATAATCTCAATTCCACTGCTAGGATCCTGCTCAATAGCTCTGCGTTCAGCGTCCAAGACTCACAAGCATATAAAAATGTGGACATGATTAGGGAGCGCATCATATTATTTTAAGTTTTGAAAGTGCTGCTGTGGACTGTACGATTCGGGCCAGTAGTTCGGGTTTCGTTCCCTCATCTGAGACAATAGCTCCAAGGTATTTGAAACTACTGACACTAGTCAGCTTTTCACCTCCAATACTGATGCCCTTTTTAAAACCCTGTTGGCTATTGGTATTAATTTTGGTTTATTTCGGCATTTATTTGCATAACATATGTTGCGGAATTTGGTGACCAGTTTTTCTTTAAATTTGTTATTATCTATCTATCTATCTATCTATCTATCTATCTATCTATCTATCTATCTATCTATCTATCTATCTATCTATCTATCTATCTATCTACCTATCTATCTACCTCTTGAAGAGCTTTTTCATGAGAGATTCTTAATTAATCATAGTGAACAAAATTGCAAGGTCAGAGGGGAAAAACCCCATACATACTCACAAGCAAAAATCCTCTTAATAAACTCCATTTTTACCTTTATTCAATTCGTAACTTCGTGGAAACTTAAAAACAAAACTAAGACCAGGTATGACTAAAGATCTAGATCTCTATAGAGTTTTAAATTGGAAATTCGTTATTTAGATATAGCCTAGATTATAATCCTGATTTAGTTTAGGTAGCTGTAGTTCCATACAATAAAACTGCAAATCTATTATTAAAAGGGAACAAATTTAGGAACCTAACTTTGGCTCAAAACTCTTCTGTGCTTGTACTCCGAGCCTACGGTGTTGAGTATGGGTTTAAAACTAGTCTAGAGCAGCAAGGAAAGACAAATTTGCCCAAGCTTTAGTGCATGGTAGTTTTGGCAGTAGCAAGCCTAACATGTAGTGATGTACTTGTTCAGGCTGTCTTGAGGTCAACTCTAGACGACTTGACTTTCAATCAATTACTCTGCAAGCGTTTGAGTTTTATTGTTCGGGTGTATTCAGTGTAGTTGATCAACAATACAGAATAAACAAGACGATGGATGTAACGAGTCAAGAGATGTGCTCAACACTGAGGAACAGTTCATACTAGAGTTGTTCTAATAAAAGGCCACAGTAAAAGTCTCTGTCAAAATAAACACGTCTTTACGCTAGAGGATTCTATCGTTAACTGATCTTCCGGTCTCTAACACAAAATATCCCAAACGTCACTAGTCCCATTCAATATAGGTCTTCTATGGTGCGTCGCTAAATAACTAATCTATAAACAAGGTGTCTAACAATGTATACTGGAAACCAAGTTATATTCTCTTCCAAAAAAACAAAGTGAAAAGTCATTATGAACTTTGTATTTCTGTCTATCATCTGTCAAGTTTGGATATCGAAATACCGATTTCTTTTTTTTAATAAACAAATACATAAGCAGAAATATCATAATCAATAATAGGTTGTTCATTTTTTAATTAAAAATAAATGACAAAAGATTATCTAAAATCGCTCCTCTGACATAATACATTTAGCTTTCTTGCCACAAAATGTCTAAAAATCTTTTTATCAATAACCAATATCGATAGTTTAATCCGTTTGTTTTTAAGTAAAAAGCAATGCT